AATTCCTAGAACTAGACTTGATCTCACGAGACCACTTGTCATGCTATAAGCACATCAGCGACTGCATTTTCTGAAAAAGTTGAGAACAGCTCAGCCCATCAACAAACATTTTACATAGGAGCTGATGTGAGTGTCCTGATAAATGGCATCTCCGTCTATATGAAAACAGCAGTGTATCAGACAAAAACACTCTGAAGGGAATAGTTAAGTCTGAAAACACTGGCATATACAACAATGCTTGTCAAGGGCAAACAGCATTTAAAGGGATCCAACCCATTCTGGTCACGGCCTGCTTATGCTCCTGTGCAGTTCTGTATATATATATTTATTTATTATGGTTTTATGGGGTGCTTCTTTAGCAGCGCTACGAAGAATTTTTTTTAACCTTTATTTTAGGCTGAATTTACATGGCTAGTTAGTATGTATTTGTTAACAGTTAAGCAAGCTAAAATTATGATTTGCTTTCACTTGCACTTTTTTGAATAAATTAATGAATGACATAAATGTTGTAGATTGATTTAAACTCCGTTTACTCATTGTTTTCCCAGGTTCCTAAGGAGGTATGGCTACATTCATGAAGGGGCTACACTGAGGACTGTAACATTTATTTTGTTTTACAAAACCTAAATGAACTCCTTAAATCTTTTAAATAGTTTTATCTGCTACCTTTATTGTAGATGAAGGGCAACCAACAACAACAGCTGTCGAAGGATTTCTTCCTTTATAATGCCTCCACAGCTCGCTCCAAGTCTTACGTCAACATACGTGAGGTGACGGAGCGATTCTGCCTGAAACCAGGCGAGTATGTCATCATTCCATCCACCTTCGATCCCCACAAGGAGAGCGAGTTTCTGCTCAGAGTCTTCTCTGAGAACAGAAGCACCTCAAAGTGAGTCTGAACACTGCATTTCTCTATGATAGCGAATGTCACTACAGTCATTATAGCATTTGCTGATGTATTAATTGGTACTATTAGAAGAACATCATGTTGTCATAAAAATTATGCAACACTTTAAAATAAAATTTCAATAATTGTTTAATACATTAATTAGCAATAACAATAAACAACATATTTTTCACAGTATTTATTTCTTTGTGAACGCCTGTTCGTAAAAAACGCTACAGTTCAGGGTAAATAATATAGATAGTGAAACTTTTGATTTCAATATTGTGTTAGGTAAATGTTACAATTAAATTAAACAAATGCTTCATAAGTAATACTTCATTGTTAGATCTTGTCAATTACTGTAGTAAGCTGATGTCAAGAATTGAATATTCACTGTAAAGCAGGGATCTCATACAGCCGGCCCATGGGCCAATTGGGGATTGGAAAAAATTAGTCCTGTGATTGCTGTTCAATCAAATCGCACATAGAAATGAATTACCTCCTCAAGACATGGGCGATTTATAATTGCAGCAAACTGTTTGTAAGCATTGAAAGTATCCAAAAGAAGATGTTCAAAATCTTTACACGCATTGACTTAGAGATTGTTTAGATGCATGTCACTGATGAGAAGATGACGGATGCATAATACTTACTACTCTTGAGTACTTTTGAAAGGTATATCTTTTACTCATATTGTGAGTACTATTAACAACAGACACTTTTACTCTACTTGCACCACATTTTTAGACAGGTGTTGGTACTTTAACTTAAGTGGACATTTAAAGTACTGTACTATATGTTAGAGCCACTTTCGATTTTTCCTAGGGCTTAGTGGCAGCACATTTGAACTCTTAAATGTCTATTGAAAATACTCTCAATAGTTTTATATTTTGTTACAGACATACAGTGTCATCCTGCAACTGTTTTACAGCATATGAAATGTCCCAAACATTATTTTTAACCGTCCAAAATAGGGAAAAAATGTTGTTTTTACTCTCTAATACTCAAAACATGTTTAAAAAATGCCTATGTTAAATATGCATTAAAAAACAGGAAAAGTCTTTTGTGTAAATTCATACCACGAGTCAACATACATGGACATCATTTTTCTCTAAAAGTACACCATATCAAAAGATGATACTTAGGTTTTTATTCTAATCAGGTTTCAATAAGCCCAAATAGCAAAGGGAAATAAAAAATGCATGTAAAAAATCACCTTAAATGTTGAAATATACGTTTGTAAGTGATCTATTTTTGCTAAAGCTGTACATTTGAAAATATGCAAGGGTCATTTGATTATAATCAGTTTTATACCACCTCTATTTTGTTGTACAAACACATCTTCATGGATTACACGTTATGATGGTGGTGTAAATATGATCATTTTGCTAATATTCGATTCAAAATGTCTTATTTACTTGATTTTCCTCAGATGCATATTAAGAAAATGTGCATTACTAAATTTTAACTGCTGACTGAATATGGCCCTCCGCCAATTTGAGTTTGAGACCCCTGCTGTAAAGTGTTACCAAATTGTATACATCTTTTTTCAGCACCATTAGTCCAGTCATCAGTGTTTCACGATCATTCAAAAATCAAGTTAATTAATATTTTCAGTGTTTAATCTGTTGAAACAATATTGTACATCTATTATACATTACATGTAACAGTAACAGATTAAAACTATAAACTGGCATTTTTAATTAGGAGCATGATTTAATGCATTTTTGTTTTATTTAAATCTATTATAAATCTAATCTGTTCTATTTATATTTTGAACTGATAATTATTCCCCCAAATTTCTCTATACACCCAATTTTTCTCTTAAAAAAATACTTGAATTGTTTAAGGGTTTTCTTTTTCAGTTGGCCCAAACTTGACTCCAGAGTGATAGAAAAGGTGTCTATGCGTCATTTAAAATGTATTAATTTTCATATAATAATATAAAATACTCGTTTGGTAAGCTGTACATAAAGTCCCAAGTCTGTTAATGACTTCTTTTTGAAAGCTATTAAAAAGCGTTTCATATTTAAGCCCTTTTAACGGAGTAGGTTTTTTTTAAAGAGCCCCTTGACCTGTAAACGCTCCAGTGACAGCTGCATGTTTTCTCTCAGAGTTATAGATGCAGAGATTGAAGCGGAGCCCATGGTGAGATACACCTGTCTCTGTCTGTCTGTCATAATATTTTACTGTCTCTATGCTTGTCTAAATTACTGTCAAGTGATCTGGTCTCTTAGTACATCTTTAATTTAGATCTTTTAGTAAAACCAAATGAATACAGAACTCCCCTATTAAGTTTCTCCTCTTAAATACCAGAGAATAAAAATATTTGTATTTTTTTTATACCAGCAGGTAGATAACGTCAAGAAAAAAATCAAGGTAAATATGCGGATGAGATGTCCCATCATTTTCCTCCCTTTCCTATGTGACATGTTAGAAAGTGAAAAAGAGAAATATGGAAATAATGGAAATGATTTTGATGCTGTGTTAATTGGCTTGCTGTTGTCAACATGCAGCTCTGTTTTCAGCTTTTGTTCGGCTTCAGTAATGACAAAAAGCATGTGCACAGCATAATATCAAAACTGCAATTCATCATCACACTCAGAATTATAATAATCACATCACTGCCTGCTTGTGATATGTTTGTGTTGTCAAGGAGAAGGAAAATACAAATGTCTAATCAAATGAACATTTATTATAAGCATATAATAAAGAATTTGGTCTTCTTTTTTTTTAGAAAAAGTGAAAGAAAACACCAAATATAAACAGTTTAGCATTTAATGATATATTCATAATTTTTTATATGATTCAGAATGCAAGTATAAGAATTAAATAACCTTAAAAAAAGCTTTTAATATGACATTTAACTAAGCAGTGACCTAGAAATGTAGAAAGTTTGATTTCAACTTTACACACACACAATTTAAAATTCACATTTAATGCAATGTATTTTTAAGAAATGCTTTAAAATGAGCTGAATCAACACAATTCTTGAGTTTATTTATTTTTAAAACAACTTAATTGTTTTAAATTCATTCCATCTACATTTGTAAAAACACTTAAGTTACCTTAATCGATTTGTGTTGGAACAACATGAAGTAATTTTGTGGAACCCTGCATTAAGACTCTCTAAGGCTCTAAACATAAACATTTGCTGTTAAAGCCCAAAATAAACACTTGCTGTTAAACTACTTGGCCTCGGGCCATTCAAGGCTTTAAAAAATTAAAACAATTTAAGTCGGCATTAAATCTAAATTTACTCTTGAATGTTATAAAAGATGCATATCTGCACCTCGTTATTATGTGAAAATTCATTTTAATCAAATTTTATAATAATCTTTCCACCCTCAAAATGACTTTTCTACTTTTCTGGTCACATGGAGTGCATTTAAGGTGGTGCTATCAATGCGTGTCTCATTGCTGCCCTGCCTTTATCTATTCGTCAGTGGTACTTAATTTTGTTAGCAAACACCCATCTTCTAACGATCGAATCACTTCACAAAAAACTAAATTATGCACAGTTTTTTTCTCTCATTTCACATAATTTTTAATTGGGTGCAACAATCATGATATGAGATAAAAGGATAATCTTAACTTGTTTCATGCCAACTTTAAGGAAGATTTTTAGCTAAAACTTGACTTGACGAATCAAAAAAAAAAAAACAAAAAAAAAAAACAAGGTCATTGGCTTCCAGCACTTTGACACAGTGCGCTTCCTAACTTCATGCGCTGTGACATGATTAAAGGTATCGTTTCCATGTTAAAAGAAGTTTTTGTCCTAACCAACACAAAATTTATATTTTAGAAACTATTTCTATTTACGCAACGTTGCAACACAACTGCATTTACCACTGTGGCAAAGATCACCTGAGGAACAGATTATGTGCTTTATTCAGTGTTAAATGCTCCCAATGTGAGTTTAAATATAATTTTACATTTATTTGCCTTACTACTGAAAGCAGGAGCAGATAGTCCACATCAGATCTTGAAAATAAAATCAATAGCAGACTGTTTGGAAATTACATTTGAACTGTGAAATTTGCCTCACAATTCTAAGATACATCTCACAAACCGAATGACTTATTTTACTTTCATTGTTGGTTTGTTTGCTAGTTGTAGTTTTTTTACTCTTTAGAAATGAACATCCTAAACAACAAGGTTATTTTGTTTGTATTTTAATGATCAGTAATATTATTACCACTGTAGCTTGTTTAGATGATGCTTGTGTTTTATTTGATTTCAAGGGCATTGGAAGTAATTTCTACTGGTTATGATGCAGATCATGACTGTTGGTAGAATGCATTCACTATTCAACACCAAATAAAAATATAAAAAATATAATTTACGTGTGCTTTTCCAATAAAAAAGGACAAATGACAAGTATGATTGCTAAGTAATATCACACAGGGTAGATTACCACCAAACATTTATTTCACATCAAGTTTATTATATCAGTTCTCATTTTTGCAGAGGATGATTAGTGACAGATTAGAGACAGATTGGGATGATTAGAGACAGAGAATGTCTCTGTTAAATCAAGTCACTCTGGTGCTAGATGTGAAACTATGAAATAGTGGTTTATTTTATCCCAGTAACATGTAAAAAAAAAAGTAGGTCAAGACGAACAGCTGGTATTAACTCTGCTGGATCTTATAGGAAGAGTGTCTGATGATCAGCCACTATTAATAATGTAGCCTATTAATAATGCCAAAGTTGGTAATTAGATTAAAAGCCTTTACTATTTCATTGGAAGTGCAGTGTTTCTGTCATGTCGAGTCACTGTTGATGCAGACAAATTGCTTGTCGCTGGAATATTGTTGCATCATTTGTTGTTAGGACACTGTGTGAGTCAAAAACAAAACAAAAAAACATAACAAAATTAGTGTATTCAAGACTTATGAAGTGAAAAGATCTTTCTGATCGAAACTGAAGATTATGCAACATTATTACTTTAACTTCCGCTCTGTCACTGTGAAAAATACATTAATTCGGTGTTTGCTGTATGTTTTTTTTACTCTCAAAGTGCTAGTAGCCGTTGACTTCTATGAATAATTTAAAAAGTCATCAAAAAAAACGTTTAGGTAAAAATGTTTATCAATGTTCTTCTTGAAAATATAGCGTCACTGACATTTTTAGCAGTGTGAGGGTAAAATGAACAAATTTTCTTTCTTGAGTAAAACATCCTTTAAATTATTAAGCTGTATAATATTTCTCATTCTCAGCCATTTGAGGAAGAGGAGACTGAAGAGGAAAAACAGTTCAGGGCCATCTTTCAGCAGATAGCTGGAGACGTGAGTGCTAATATGAAATTCATTTTAAACTTATCACATATACTTAACACAATTACTGCAACCATATTGCTTCTTGCAGGATATGGAGATTAATGCCAATGAGCTCAGGACTGTCCTAAACAGAGTGGTTGCCAAACGTAATAGAAAAATCTTGTTTTTCGCTACTAATTGTCTATTAATAAATGCCTAGATATCTAGAAAGTACTGATAATCCATGCTTTTCTTTGCTCTTCTCAGATAAAGAGCTAAAAACAGAGGGCTTCAGTCTGGAAAGTTGCAGAAGTATGATCGCACTCCTGGATGTATCCTTCATTTAGTTCTGCTATGCATTATGGACAAATAATATAAGATTATTTGCAATGTAAAGAAGCAATACAGCCAGTAAGTTTTCAGTAATGGAAGAATTAGTTTGCATTAAATATGCCTACTTCCATACAGCTATAGGGAAAAATAAGACATCATTTGCAAATCTCTGGATTTAATATGTCTGGGATTGATTTTATTTTTTAAAAAGTTTTATAAATGTATGAAATTATTGTATAAGCAAAAGTAAAATATTAAAATTTGTATTTTCCAGAAAATGATAATTGGAAAAAAATAACAAATGTTTTCGATTATTATTAATTTTGTAACTCTTCTGAAGTAAAAAAAAAAAAATTCAAACATGTCAGAAATCATGGCATCTTGTTGTCATGTTGACCATATTGTCATTTTATCACACACACACACACACACACACACACACACACACACACACACACACACACACACACACACACACACACACACACACACACACACACACACACACACATCGGAAACCTTGGAATTATTTCCAGTTATTTTTTAATCTAATCAATGTAAAAACTCCTTTGTCAGAAGTAGGATTTGAACCCACGCCTCCATCTGGAGTCCTGAATGCTCATTCCTAGAGAAGGTTGATTGAGAGGGGTTTGGCTGCAGACTGGGTGCAGTGCAATCTAAGCTGCATCCAATGCTTTTTAAATGCGCTCACCTAACCTCACCCCTGACCCTACCCATCACAGTGAAGTCACTCACTCCGTTGAGTGCATTGAGTCTGACATTGCATTGCTAAGTGATGCAGTCTCAGCTTGCATCATAAAGGCTGCATCCAGATACTATTGAGTTGATTTACCTTGAGTCTGGTGCCTTAGACCACTCGGCCATTCTGACACGTTTCTTACTGTGGTGTGGTGCAATCCACAAATAAAGAATCTATTGAGGCAACCTGCAAAGGAAAAACACATTATTTACATTTTCTAATCATTAGGTCACTTTTCCTCTTCTTATCATTAGGAAAACTCCATTATCAGAAGTGGGATTTGAACCCACGCCTCCATCTGGAGATCAGAATTCTCATACCTTGAGAAGATCAATTCATCTTGAGTCTGGCACCTTAGAAAACTCTGCAATTCTGACACGTTCCTTTTTTGTGGTTTAGTGCACTCGATTACTAATGCCTCCATTGAGGCAAAGTTCAGAGCGTAACACCAGCAATAAAAACCTGTAAATCATCAACATTTCTTTTTGTAATAAATCTAATATCTCTATTGTCAGAAGTGGGATTTGAACCCACGCCTCCATCGGGAGACCAGAATTCTCATTAACTGAGAAAGTTGGTTCACCTTGAGTCTGGCGCCTTAGACCACTCGGCCATTCTGACACATGTTTTTGCAAAGGTTTGGTGCACTCCACAATTAAAGACTTGTTGAGGCAAACTGCAACAGAGAACTGCAACATCAGAAACCTTTGAATTATTTCCATTTCTTTTCCCTCTTCTAATCAATAGGAAAACTTCACTGTCAGAAGTGGGATTTGAACCCACGCCTCCATCTGGAAACCAGAATCCTTATTCCTTGAGAAGATCGATTCATCTTGAGTCTGGCACCTTAAACCACTCAGCCATTCTGACACATGTGTTTCTATGGTATAGTGCACTACATTACTAATGCCTCCATTGAGGCAAAGTTCAGAGAGTAACACTAGCAATAAAAACCTGTAAATCATCTACGTTTCTTTTCATAATCTAATAAATCTAATATTTCTATTGTCAGAAGTCTCCATCAGGAGACCAGAATTCTCATTAACTGAGAAAGTCGATTCACCTTGAGTCTGGCACCTTAGACCAGGGGTTTTCAAACTTTTTCAGCTGAGGGCCCCTTTGTGTCGGGCGAATTCTTTTGGGGACCCCCCAAAAATAAAAATGACGCCACCCCCTCAAATTAACAACTGTACTTAATTTTTTTAAAATTGTATTATTCAATACATTTATATTATTATATATTATTCAATAAATTTATATTATTCATTATCTGGATTAATCTTTGTAAGATGTTAGTTGAGTTGACATGGTTTTAGTGCTTCAATCTATTGATCAAATTTTGATGCGCAGTACTCATTGTGGTCTGCTCTCACTGGATTATTCCATCAAGCCATATTTTGTGTTTGAGTCATCACTTTACACAGTTTTTATGCAATTTTTATGCTTTTTTTCAGCCTATGCACAGCTAGACTCTTCTGTATTTACCCTTACAGCTGAGAGTCTAAATGTATCTCAAATTTAAAGCTTTAAAGTTTTAAAGAAATCATCAGCCTGTTAACAGTTAACTGTTGTAACTAGCAATACTACAATGGAGGCTGTAGTGGTTCAGTGTGTTTTGTTTATTTTTATTCCTTTTTTTGTGCACATCATAATTTACTCAGGTCGACAATCCTGACTTACACTGATAAAAAAATAATTTCCTAAATGCAATCTAGAATTTGGTATTCAAGTTCAAAGAGCCACAAGTTTTACTTTGCATAATTTTAAAAGCTTTGCTGACTTTAAAATGTTCATACCAGTTTGTTAATAATAATACTGAACATACATTTAAATTAGTTACACAAACAAATATGGGAAAAAGTGGAACAAAAATGCATTTATATTCAGAGTATTAAAATTTGATCAGGTATGTTGAGCTCCATTAAATACAGAGCACTAATACATTTTAATATTTAATATTTATTAGCCCTATAACATAACACAAACAGATACATTATAATTTTTGAAGGCTATAGTGGTTTTACTCAGTGTGTATACAATTTAGTTTTTTTAATCATCCAGTTATGAACCAATGTGAGTAAGAGGTCCTCTGCAGAGCTCATCCAGCTGTCATTAGTGTAACAGGAGTGAAACTGAGCACTCACTGATGTGATGACAGCTCCATTCATTGTTATTGCAGCACTTTTTGCTTTACAATTTTAATATGTTTGTTTGCCATGCAGCTAAGAGGACCGTCTGATATTTGTACAATGCAAAGTGTAAAGCCTGTCGCGCTGTGGACGAGGTGCAATGTTGTGCTGTGTCTTTAAAATGCTATTTGTTCCCTATGAGTGAAGCCTGCGCAGAAAGGCGCGTACTCCGCAGCACCCAGCTGATCGGTTACTTAGGAACGCAAGCCATATACAGAGAAGTGCTTTCAGCCACCGATAATGTTCTTATTGATCATGTATTTTAACTGAAATATAGTCAGTCAAACCTGAGCATTCATTTAGTTGTTTAGCGTAAAAGAGGTAAGCGTAAGTGAAAGGTAAACGCCGTCAGGTGCAGCAGACAAGCGCCAAAAATCACAGTCAGGAAGCGCCTGGCCAGAAGCGCTTATTCAATAAAAGTCCCCGTCCACGGAGGCAGGCCGCTGCGCTTCTTTTCCTGTGTCACAAAAGTGTCAACTGCATTTAAATGACATAAGCATAAAACTTCATTTTTGCAGTACTTTTGAGCTCAAATTATAATAAAAATATATTAACCTTCAGAATGATGTGGGACACAAAATTCATCCATGTCGGCTCATTGATCTAAAATTTCTTTGCGGCCCCCCTAGCGCCATCTGGCGGCCCCCAGTTTGAAAATCCCTGCCTTAGACCACTCGGCCATTCTGACAGATATTTTGAAAAGGTGTGGTGCAATCTACAAATAAAGACTCTACTGAGGCAAACAACAACAGACAACTGCAACATCAGACACCTTTTAATTACTTCCATTTCTTTTCCCCTTCTAATCAATAGGAAAACTCCATTGTCAGAAGTGGGATTTCAACCCACTCCCCCATCTGGAGACCAGAATCCTCATTCCTTGAGAAAATTGATTCATCTTGAGTCTGGTGCCTTAGACCACTCGGCCATTCTGACACATACATTTCAATGGTACAGTGCACTACATTACTAATGCCTCCATTGAGGCAAAGTTCAGAGCGCAAAACCAGCAATAAAAACCTGTAGTTCATCTTCATTGCTTTATCTAATCTAATAAATCTGAAATATCTATGGTCAGAAGTGGGATTTGAACCTACGCTTCCATCTGAAGCCCAGATTTCTCATTAGCTGGGAAGGTTGATTGACTGTGAGCCTAGCACCTTAGACCACTCGGACACACATTTTTTGCTACAGTGTGGTGCAATCCACAAATAAAGAATCTGTTGAGGCAACCTGCAAAGGATAACAGTATTATTTCCATTTCTTTTCCCTCGTCTAATCAATAGGAAAACAATGTTGTCAGAAGTGGGATTTGAACCCACGCCTCCATCTGGAGACCAGAACCCTCATACCTTAAGAAGATTGATTAAACTTGAATCTGGCACCTTAGACCACTCGGCCATTTTGAAACCTGACTTTTGTGTGGTATAGTGCACTCCATTGCTAATGCCTCCATTGAGGCAAAGTTCAGAGAGTAACACCAGCAATAATAACCTGTAAATCATCTACGTTTCGTTTCGTAATGTAATAAATCTAATATTTCTTTTGACAGAAGTGGGATTTGAACCCACGCCTCTATCGGGAGAGGAGAATTCTCATTAACTGAGAAAGTTGATTCACCTTGAGTCTGGCACCTTAGACCTCTCGGCCATTCTGACAGATATTTTGCAAAGGTGTGGTGCCATCTACAACATCACTGCAACATCAGAAACCTTTGAATTATTTCCATTTCTTTTCCCCTTCTAATCAATAGGAAAACTCCATTGTCAGAAGTGGGATTTGAACCCACACCTCCATCTGGAGACCAGAATCCTCGTTCCTTGAGAAGATTGATTCATCTTGAGTCTGGCGCCTTAGACCACTCGGCCATTCTGACACATACATTTCAATGGTACAGTGCACTAAATTACTAATGCCCCCATTGAGGCAAAGTTCAGAGCGCAAAACCAGCAATAAAAACCTGTAGATCATCTTCGTTGCTTTATCTAATCTAATAAATCTGAAATATCTATGGTCAGAAGTGGGATTTGAACCTACGCTTCCATCTGAAGCCCAGAACTCTCATTAGCTGAGAAGGTTGATTGACTGTGAGCCTAGCACCTTAGATCACTCGGACACACATTTTTTGCTACAGTGTGGTGCAATCCACAAATAAAGAATCTGTTGAGGCAACCTGCAAAGGACAACTGTATTATTTCCATTTCTTTTCCCTCTTCTAATCAATAGGAAAACACTGTTGTCAGAAGTGGGATTTGAACCCACGCCTCCATCTGGAGACAAGAATCCTCATTCCTTGAGAAGATTGATTCATCTTGAGTCTGGCGCCTTAGACCACTCGGCCATTCTGACAGATATTTTGCAAAGGTGTGGTGCCATCTACAAATAAAGACTCTACTGAGGCAAACAGCAACAGACAACTGCAACATCAGAAACCTTTGAATTATTTCCATTTCTTTTCCCCTTCTAATCAATAGGAAAACTCCATTGTCAGAAGTGGGATTTGAACCCACGCCTCCATCTGGAGACCAGAATCCTCGTTCCTTGAGAAGATTGATTCATCTTGAGTCTGGCGCCTTGACCACTCGGCCATTCTGACACATACATTTCAATGGTACAGTGCACTAAATTACTAATGCCCCCATTGAGGCAAAGTTCAGAGCGCAAAACCAGCAATAAAAACCTGTAGATCATCTTCGTTGCTTTATCTAATCTAATAAATCTGAAATATCTATGGTCAGAAGTGGGATTTGAACCTACGCTTCCATCTGAAGCCCAGAACTCTCATTAGCTGAGAAGGTTGATTGACTGTGAGCCTAGCACCTTAGACCACTCGGACACACATTTTTTGCTACAGTGTGGTGCAATCCACAAATAAAGAATCTGTTGAGGCAACCTGCAAAGGACAACAGTATTATTTCCATTTCTTTTCCCTCTTCTAATCAATAGGAAAACACTGTTGTCAGAAGTGGGATTTGAACCCCATCTCCATCTGGAGACCAGAATCCTCATTCCTTGAGAAGATTGATTCATCTTGAGTCTGGCGCCTTAGACCACTCGGCCATTGTGACACATACATTTCAAGGGTACAGTGCACTAAATTACTAATGCCCCCATTGAGGCAAAGTTCAGAGCGCAAAACCAGCAATAAAAACCTGTAGTTCATCTTCATTGCTTTATCTAATCTAATAAATCTGAAATATCTATGGTCAGAAGTGGGATTTGAACCTACGCTTCCATCTGAAGCTCAGATTTCTCATTAGCTGGGAAGGTTGAAAGACTGTGAGCCTAGCACCTTAGATCACTCGGACACACATTTTTTGCTACAGTGTGGTGCAATCCACAAATAAAGAATCTGTTGAGGCAACCTGCAAAGGACAACAGTATTATTTCCATTTCTTTTCCCTCTTCTAATCAATAGGAAAACAATGTTGTCAGAAGTGGGATTTGAACCCACGCCTCCATCTGGAGAGGAGGACCCTCATACGTTGAGAAGATTGATTAAATTTGAGACTGGCACCTTAGACCACTCAGCCATTCTGACAGCTGACTTTTGTGTGGTATAGTGCACACCATTGCTAATGCCTCCATTGAGGCAAAGTTCAGGGAGTTACACCAGTAATAATAACCTGTAAATCATCTGCGTTTCTTTTCGTAATGTAATAAATCTAATATTTCTGTTGTCAGAAGTGGGATTTGAACCCACGCCTCCATCGGGAGACCAGACTCCTCATATACTGAGAAAGTTGATTTACCTTGAGTCTGGCGCCTTAGACCACTCGGCCATTCTGACAGATATTTTGCAAAGGTGTGGAGCAATCTACAAATAAAGACTCTACTCAGGTAAACAGCAACAGACAACTGCAACATCAGAAACCTTTGAATTATTTCCATTTCTTTTTTCCTTCTAATCAATAGGAAAACAACATTGTCAGAAGTGGGATTTGAACCCACACCACCATCTAGAGACCAGAATACTCATTCTTTGCGAAGATTGATTCATCTTGAGTCTGGCGCCTTAGACCACTCGGCCATTCTGACATATAGATTTCAACATAACAGTGCACTACATTACTAATGCCTCCATTGAGGCAAAGTTCAGAGCGCAAAACCAGCAATAAAAACCTGTAGATCATCTTCATTGCTTTATCTAATCTAATAAATCTGAAATATCTATGGTCAGAAGTGGGATTTGAACCTACGCTTCCATCTGAAGCCCAGAATTCTCATTAGCTGAGAAGGTTGATTGACTGTGAGCCTAGCACCTTAGACCACTCGGACACACATTTTTTGCTACAGTGTGGTGTAATCCACTAATAAAGAATCTGTTGAGGCAACCTGCAAAGGATAACAGTATTATTTCCATTTCTTTTCCCTCTTCTTATCAATAGGATAACAATGCTGTCAGAAAAGGGATTCGAACCCACGCCTCCATCTGGAGACCAGAACCCTCATATCTTGAGAAAATTGATTAAACTTGAGTTTGGCACCTTAGACCACTCGGCCATTCTGACACCTGACTTTTGTGTGGTATAGTGCACTCCATTGCTAATGCCTCCATTGAGGCAAAGTTCAGAGAGTAAAACCAGCAATAATAACCTGTAAATCATCTACGTTTCTTTTCGTAGTGAAAAAAATCTAATATTTCTATTGTCAGAAGTGGGATTTGAACCCACGCCTCCATCAGGAGACCAGAATTCTCATTAACTGAGAAAGTTGATTCACCTTGAGTCTGGCGCCTTAGACCACTCGGCCATTCTGACAGATATTTTCCACAAGTGTGGAGCAATCTACAAATAAAGACTCTACTCAGGCAAACAGCAAGAGAGAACTGCAACATCAGAAACCTTTGAATTATCTCAATTTCTTTTCCCCTTCTAATCAATAGGAATACTCCATTGTCAGAAGTGGGATTTGAACCCACGCCTCCATTTGGAGACCAGAATCCTCATACCTTGAGAAGATTGATTCATCTTGAATCTGGCGCCTTAGACCACTCGGCCATTCTGACAGATTTTGCAATGGTGTGGTGCAATCTACAAATAAAGACTCTACTGAGGCAAACAGCGAGAGATAACTGCAACATCAGAAACCTTTGAATTATTTCCATTTCTTTTCCCCTTCTAATCAATAGGAAAACTCAACTATCAGAAGTGGGATTTGAACCCACGCCTCCATCTGGAGACCGGAATGCTCATTCCTTGAGAAGATTGATTCATCTTGAGTCTGGCGCCTTAGACCGCTCGGCCATTCTGACACATTCATTTCAACGGTACAGTGCACTACATTACTCCCTTCACTGAGGCAAAGTTGAGAGCGCAAAACCAGCAATAAAAACCTGTAGATCATCTTCATTGCTTTATCTAATCTAATAAATCTGAAATATCTATGGTCAGAAGTGGGATTTGAACCTACGCTTCCATCTGAAGCCCAGAATTCTCATTAGCCGAGAAGGTTGATTGACTGTGAGCCTAGCACCTTAGACCACTCGGACACACATTTTTTGCTACAGTGTGGTGCAATCCACAAATAAAGATTCTGTTGAGGCAACCTGCAAAGTACAACAGTATTATTTCCATTTCTTTTCCCTCTTCTAATCAATAGGAAAACGCTGTTGTCAGAGGTGGGATTTGAACCCATGCCTCCATCTGGAGACCAGAATCCTCATTCCTTGAGAAGATTGATTCATCTTGAGTCTGGCGCCTTAGACCACTCGGCCATTCTGACACATACATTTCAATGGTACAGTGCACTAAATTACTAATTCCCCCATTGAGGCAACGTTCAGAGCGCAAAACCAGCAATAAAAACCTGTAGTTCATCTTCATTGCTTTATCTAATCTAATAAATCTGAAATATCTATGGTCAGAAGTGGGATTTGAACCTACGCTTCCATCTGAAGCTCAGATTTCTCATTAGCTGGGAAGGTTGAATGACTGTGAGCCTAGCACCTTAGACCAGTCAGACACACATTTTTTGCTACAGTGTGGTGCAATCCACAAATAAAGAATCTGTTGAGGCAACCTGCAAAGTACAACAGTATTATTTCCATTTCTTTTCCCTCTTCTAATCAATAGGAAAACATTGTTGTCAGAAGTGGGATTTGAACCCACGCCTCCATCTTGAGAGGAGAACCCTTATACGTTGAGAAGATTGATTAAACATAAGTCTGGCACCTTAGACCACTCGGCCATTTTGACACCTGACTTTTGTGTGGTATAGTGCAATCCATTACTAATGCCTCCATTGAGGCAAAGTTCAGAGAGTAACCTGTAAATCATCTACGTTTCTTTTCGTAGTGTAATAAATCTAATATTTCTATTGTCAGAAGTGCAATTTGAACCCACGCCTCCATCAGGAGACCAGAATTCTCATTAACTGAGAAAGTTGATTCACCTTGAGTCTGGCGCCTTAGACCACTCGGCCATTCTGACAGATATTTTCCAAAGGTGTGGAGCAATCTACAAATAAAGACTCTACTCAGGCAAACAGCAACAGACAACTGCAACATCAGAAACCTTTGAATTATTTCCATTTCTTTTCCCCTTCTAATCAATAGGAAAACTCCATTGTCAGAAGTGGGATTTGAACCCACGCCTCCATCTGGCGACCAGAATCCTCATGCCTTGAGAAGATTGATTCATCTTGAGTCTGGCACCTTAGACCACTCGGCCATTGTGACACGTCCATTTCAATGGTACAGTGCACTACATTACTAGTGCCTCCATTGAGGCAAAGTTGAGAGCGCAAAACCAGCAATAAAAACCTGTAGATCATCTTCGTTGCTTTATCTAATCTAATAAATCTGAAATATCTATGGTCAGAAGTGGGATTTGAACCTACGCTTCCATCTGAAGCCCAGAACTCTCATTAGCTGAGAAGGTTGATTGACTGTGAGCCTAGCACCTTAGATCACTCGGACACACATTTTTTGCTACAGTGTGGTTCAATCCACAAATAAAGAATCTGTTGAGGCAACCTGCAAAGGACAACAGTATTATTTCCATTTCTTTTCCCTCTTCTAATCAATAGGAAAACACTGTTGTCAGAAGTGGGATTTGAACCCACGCCTCCATCTGGAGACAAGAATCCTCATTCCTTGAGAAGATTGATTCATCTTGAGTCTGGCGCCTTAGACCACTCGGCCATTCTGACAGATATTTTGCAAAGGTGTGGTGCCATCTACAAATAAAGACTCTTCTGAGGCAAACAGCAACAGACAACTGCAACATCAGAAACCTTTGAATTATTTCCATTTCTTTTCCCCTTCTAATCAATAGGAAAACTCCATTGTCAGAAGTGGGATTTGAACCCACGCCTCCATCTGGAGACCAGAATCCTCGTTCCTTGAGAAGATTGATTCATCTTGAGTCTGGCGCCTTAGACCACTCGGCCATTCTGACACATACATTTCAATGGTACAGTGCACTAAATTACTAATGCCCCCATTGAGGCAAAGTTCAGAGCGCAAAACCAGCAATAAAAACCTGTAGATCATCTTCGTTGCTTTATCTAATCTAATAAATCTGAAATATCTATGGTCAGAAGTGGGATTTGAACCTACGCTTCCATCTGAAGCCCAGAACTCTCATTAGCTGAGAAGGTTGATTGACTGTGAGCCTAGCACCTTAGACCACTCGGACACACATTTTTTGCTACAGTGTGGTGCAATCCACAAATAAAGAATCTGTTGAGGCAACCTGCAAAGGACAACAGTATTATTTCCATTTCTTTTCCCTCTTCTAATCAATAGGAAAACACTGTTGTCAGAAGTGGGATTTGAACCGCATTTCCATCTGGAGACCAGAATCCTCATTCCTTGAGAAGATTGATTCATCTTGAGTCTGGCGCCTTAGACCACTCGGCCATTGTGACACATACATTTCAATGGTACAGTGCACTAAATTACTAATGCCCCCATTGAGGCAAAGTTCAGAGCGCAAAACCAGCAATAAAAACCTGTAGATCATCTTTATTGCTTTATCTAATCTAAGAAATCTGAAACATCTATGGTCAGAAGTGGGATTTGAACCTACGCTTCCATCTGAAGCTCAGATTTCTCATTAGCTGGGAAGGTTGAAAGACTGTGAGCCTAGCACCTTAGATCACTCGGACACACATTTTTTGCTACAGTGTGGTGCAATCCACAATTAAAGAATCTGTTGAGGCAACCTGCAAAGGACAACAGTATTATTTCCATTTCTTTTCCCTCTTCTAATCAATAGGAAAACAATGTTGTCAGAAGTGGGATTTGAACCCACGCCTCCATCTGGAGAGGAGGACCCTCATACGTTGAGAAGATTGATTAAAATTGAGACTGGCACCTTAGACCACTCAGCCATTCTGACAGCTGACTTTTGTGTGGTATAGTGCACACCATTGCTAATGCCTCCATTGAGGCAAAGTTCAGGGAGTTACACCAGCAATAATAACCTGTAAATCATCTGCGTTTCTTTTCGTAATGTAATAAATCTAATATTTCTGTTGTCAGAAGTGGGATTTGAACCCACGCCTCCATCGGGAGACCAGACTCCTCATATACTG